TGTCTCTCCCCACCATTGGTAAGACTGGTCTTCTCCTCTCAGTGTCTCTCCACAGCATTGGTAAGACTGGTCTTCTCCTCTCGGTGTCTCTCCACAGTGTAGTGAACTAGGCCTCCGACTCCACATTCACTAAAACAGCATTGGTAGGGCTGGTCCTCTCCTCGCCATTGATAAGACTGGTCCTCTCCTCTCCGTGTCTCTCCACATCATTGGTAAGACTGTTCCTCTCCGTGTCTTTCCACAGCATTGGTAGGACTGGTCGTGTCCTCTCAGTGTCTCTCCACAGCATTGGTAGGACTGGTCCTCTCCTTTCAGTGCCTCTCCACAGCATTGGTAGGACTGGTCCTGTCCTCTCAGTGTCTCTCCACAGCATTGGTAGAACTGGTCCTTTCCTCTCAGTGTCTCTTGACAGCATTGGTTGTGGGCAGCTGTGGCTGATGAGTAGCATTCGTTCTCCAATGGGAGATCCATTCACTCTGCGCATCCCAACCAGCCACAGCCGACCCGCTGTCCACTGGTTGTCAGATTTATTAGTTTAGTTTTGTGAGTTTTTGTAGGGGTGAGCTGCCATTTTAGTTAAGACATTTTTCTCCTGTTTTCGTTAGTTTATTTCAGGTGAGATACCTGTATTTTGGTTACTTTTGTTTTGTTGAGGTAATAGAAAATAGGAGGAAAAACAGTTTGTTTTTGTTTATTATTTTGGCCTGGACTCACTCTTAAGTTTGGTTATGCTCCAAGTTCACAGTAGATATTATTCACATTGAAAATAAACTCACAGTTTAACCATATCCATTGACTCCATGGCTGCTTGAGGTGTACAGAAGGTGGAAACGCCCACACCTAACTACAACCTGGCAGCTGTGGGGTTTTTTTTTTGCCAATCCACCAGCAGTCACATGTTGAAGTGTCCCTGGGCAAAACATTGAATGCATGTCCCATCTGTGCATGAATGTGATCAAAAGCACCGAGTAGTCTCTACAGATTCAGATAAGTTTTGTAGAGATATTGTAGAATGCTGTGTGGATGGATAAATGAGGGCGCAAGTTGTATTGTAAAGTGCTTTGAGTTTCTTGATTAGATAGAAAGGGTGCTATATAAGGACAGTCCATTTACCATTGGTAGGACTGGCCCTCTTCTCTTTGTGTCTCTCCCTACCACTGATATGACTGGTAGTCTCTTCTCGATGTCTCTCCACAGCATTGGTAGGACTTGTCTTCTCTTCTCGGTGTCTTTCCACAATATTGATAGGACTGTTCTTCTCATTTTGTCACACCATGGTCTCCCAAATTAATACCAAACTGAGAAAGTATGATTTAGTCTCTGTGTGTGCTCATTTTTGGCTGATTGTCACATACTCCAGTAACTACCTGATAACACTACCAGTGGTGATGCCACAACTTCATTTTTTCATGATTTTGCTCTGGATGTTTTGCAAATCGGATCATTTACTGACCTGTCACTGGTCTGTATGTGGAGCAGATGCAGGCAACGTCAAACCTTTCCTTCCTTACAATAATAATAAACCAATTTATGAAGTTTTGTAGTGAAATGTTTGTAGACGACTGTTGAATTGTTACTACATAAATGAGTGAAACTGAACTTAATGAAGAGGTTGCTTAAATATGAAGGCCTTAGTTTATTTATTTTTTTCTTTAAACTCCAGAACTTGTTTTCATGAATCTAATTTATGTTCCCTCATGAAATCTGACAACTCTGACATGGAAACTGTGGTTCCAGTTCCAGTTTTCTCTTTTTAAACATTGAATTAAATCAGACGAGCCCTGGGAAACGTTTCTGGTTCTGCTGCTTCCACTTAAACCACCGGTCGGTTTAATGTGTGAACAGATGAAGTTTTCACGTGGAGCTTAAATCAGACGTTTTTCATTTTTAAAAAAGGAATCCAAACTTTATTTTGCTGTTACAGAAACAAACATATAGAAGACATCAACAGCAATACATTCTTATTTTCTGTACAAAGCTCTCCTCTGTGTTTAAAATGATCCCTGCTGCTGCAGTTTTCTGTTTTATGGTCAGGAGGCAGTGATCCAGCAGGACTGAGAAAAAAAAGAGCTGTGACCGCAGCGCACCCCTTGAAATCATCAAATATACTTTAAACAAGACAGGAAATTAACAGCGGCCGTGTTAGAAGCTCCATTTTGGGAACTCCAACAAGTTTCTGCAATAACGACCTGCAGTTTAATGTGAACATTTATTTTTAACTCTTGGATTCTGACAGAATTCATGCTGACAATAATTACATTTACACACACATGGCTCATCCTTTTAAAATTTAAACCACATTTAATATAATGTTTATAAATCTTACAAATCTTAAGTTTTTTAACGTGCTGAAACGTCAAAAATGGAAGCACAGCAACGAGTTGAATGTGTGTTTGTAAAAAAGTAAAACATAAAGAAAAATGATGCTTTGACTTTCAGATTTGTTTAAAATTGGTTCATTGTTTCTGCGTTAAGGAAACAGTTGGTCCGGTTGATAAAAATGACAAGTTTTTCTCTGAAGCTCATGTAATTCAATTCCTATTAGTATTTATTTTTAAACAACCATGTTAATTTTCTGAGAATAACTGCTGATTAAAAGTTCTTCAAGGTCCAAAACCAAAGATCAGACTAAGTAAAATGATTACTTAATCATTCTTATATTTATCCAGCAAGCTCTTTGAGCTGTAAAATATATATTGAAAAAACAATGTTGTTGTGGAAAATGTAAACGAAAAATTGATAATTTATTCACAACAGAACATAATCAACATATTTCTTAAAAACTAAGAAACTGTACAACTTTTTGGGTAAAAAATAATAATAATTTGATGGTAACACATCTGTAAAAATCGGGACAGGAGGGCAGCAAATGAAAGTGAATCAGGTTAACTGACAGCAGATCATTAAGAAGTCGGCGTAAAAAGAGCATGTTAAAGAGGCTGAATCTCTCGAAGTAAAGATGGGCAGAGGTTTACCAGTAACAAAAACTGTCTAAAATAGTGCAACTCTTTCAGAACAATGCTCTTCAGTGGGAAAATGGCAAAGAGCTCAACAGTTCAACATACGAAACACTCATAGCCTACATGCTAATTAAAGCTCTATCACACAAAGAAGAAGCCAGAAGTGAACACTGTCCAGAAACGTTGCAGGCTTCTCTGGACCAAAGTTTATTTTAAATGAACTGAAGCAAAGTGGAATAAGACCCATCTTTATACAAATGTGTTGCACCCATCAAATGCAAAACTATCTTTCATTTCAAAAAAAGTTGTATAATTTTTTTAGGCAAACATTTGATATTTTGACTACGTTCCATTGTGAATTAAAAATGGGTTTATGATATGTGTGAATGATCACGTTCTGTTTTATTTACATTTTACAGAACTTTTGACTTTTTACGTGTTGTATTAGCTAACAACTAGCGTTAGCCTCACTGTGTTGACCGTTGTTTACTTCCATCTTGAAATGAGGAGAAACGGTTTCCATGGCAACAATTGTATTTTAATAGGCTTTACCAACTACCATGACCTGCATATGGAGATTTTCTGTTCTCTTTAGACCAGAAGATAAAAACATTGAAATCAAGCTGCTAGCTAGCGAGCTAGCAGCTACAATGCACTATAAGGTATGCTCTCCAAATCGTTTGGTAATTAATAACCTCATTAAGTTGTTTCTCAGCTTGACTATAACTAAATTTTGCTTTTGAAATTACAAAATGAGGCCAATTGTGCCTTTTCTTAAGAGGCTATGGGTTGAGCTTCTTGTCCTGTTTTAGCATGAAGAAGAAAAAGGTCATGGTGGGAGAAATATATATCTGCAAAAATGTAATGAAAAAATACATTCTGTCCATATACACATACAGTAAATACATTTCTGCAAGAGTAGAGGAGCTCCCACCGAGGCTGTGTGGTAAACATTTTCAGGTGAAACTGAAGTTAGAAGCACCGGGACGATGTGGAGTTTAGAGAAACGCTAAAAGCTCAGCTGAAAACAAAGAAAATTACATCCTCCCACCAGAAACACCTGCGACTGAAGAAACGAATCCAAGGTCTTCTGATAAATAAAATCTCACAAGTTATGAAAATAGTAATCCAGGGAGCCAGCTTCCCATCATTTTTAAGACAAAATAAAAATATTTACCGCGAGCTTGAGGGAAGCTCACGTCGGTTCCTGCTCTAACGTCTCTGTAGCGCTGCTGTTCGATAAATAGTAAAGATGAGGCACGTCTGCTATAAAAACTGCTCTCTCCTTACGATTCCCTGACCTGGAAGTCCTGTACATGTTCTTTCAGCACCAAGTGATGAAACGGATCCGGCCTGAGGAGGATTTGAACCCCCTGCACCTCCCAGCGGAGGCGATGAGTCTCTTCATTCAGAAAGGCGACCGTTGAGCTTTAACTGTCTACCATTTCCCCGGGATGGGCGTTCCACACTCATACCAGGAGACGTAGTTGACGTGGGAATGTCCTCCTATCTGTCCAAAGTGGACCGGTTCCTGACGGAGAGCTCTGTAGAACCCTGGAGCAGAAACAAAAAGATGGTAAGTTGAATGAATCAATGCATGTGTTGGCTACTAGCTTTTATCATCTCAGCGTATCGTATTAGAGCGACTCTAAGATCATGATGAAAAGTGATGATCCAGACCCTGGCATGTGATCAGGGACTTCACTGAATGGTCCAGCAATTTTCGGTCTGGTCATCTGGACAGGTTTTTTTTTTTTTTTTGGTGCTGAAACGTTTCACCCTCCATCCAGAAGGTTTCATCAGTCAAGGAAACACACAACACAAAACTGATTCTTCCCCCAACAGCTTATTCCAAAGTGGAGCAAACCAGTTATGTTGGTGCTAAGATGGTCTCTTTGACACGCCCCCTCCTCAGGTGCCGGCCCTCTTTCTCATCGAGTGTCATGTCAAACTGGTTCAAAACCAACAAAGTCCATGCTCAATAATCCAGGTATACAATCCAACAATTTTCGGTTTGGTCATCTGGACAGTTTCTTTTTGTGTGTGTGTGCTGAAACGTTTCACCTTCCATCCAGAAGGCTTCATCAGTCAAGGAAACACAACTCAAAACTGAT